GAAAAAATACTGGAAAGGGGAGAGGAAGTAAAGAGCAAGTAAGGAAGGGGAAGAAACAAGGTAATAAGAAAGAGGATACGGGGAGTAATGGGAAACACGTCGGAGAGGTCACCGGAAAGAAGGGATGGAACGAAGAGAGGAAGCAGCGATGCAAGCTCGTGATGTGGTCTGATGTGCAGTGGTCACTCGGGGCAGTGGCAGGAGACCAAGCACGCAACCTCGGGCAATCTCGGGTATTCTCGGGCGCCTCCCACTGCCCCGACCACATCACGACGTTGCACGGGTACTCTCGGGCAATCTGGGCACTCTCGGGCACTCTCGGGCGCTCTCGGGCGCTCTCGGGCACTCTCGGGAGCCTGTCGCGCTTGAGACGGACGAGAAGGCAGGAAGAGACTGCAGTGAGACGGAAGTGAGACGGAGTGTTGGATCTATTGAGACACCGCTGAGACGGCAGGAAGGAGAGACGGAAGTGAGACGGAAGTGAGACGGAGTGATGGATCTATTGAGACACCGCTGAGACGCTGAGAGTGAGACAGGGACGAATTCACGTGAGACTGAGACGACTCAACGTGACGCCCGCGAGCAAACGCACCCGCAAGTTGGGTACGGGGATACCACTCCTTACGTGGTCCCGCAACCCGCCCAAGTACCCAGGTATCTCGGGGGCGCGCTCCAGTATCTGCAGTATCTGCGGTATCTGCAGTATCTGCAGTATCTGCAGTATCTGCAGTATCTGCAGTATCTGCAGTATCTGTCTGCAGTATCTGTGGTCTGCAGTATCCGCGGTGTCCGGGTTGTCTGTGGCAACAGGCGGTGTGGGGTGTGGCGGCACCACCCTCGCAGCCCAGATCTGCAGCCGCTGGTTGACAGTCGCTGGTTTAAAAAGACACATCTAAACCCGGCTGACGCCGGCCTTACACTTTTCCTAACAAGCCTCTACTGCTTCGTTGTCCGTCGTCTGCTGCTGTACAATTTTGGCCTCTTCTCCTTCGCAAGGGCCCCGCCCCCAGCGAGGGGGGGGCGGGGCCGCGCAGGGGTCCTCTAGTGCCAAACAAACGGGAAAACTATTACATGCAACCTCGCCGACGGCCGCCCCCGTCCATTATGCACACATCGCAGGTTCGTGCAGTGATGTCGCTGGCGCTCGCCGTCGGCGTACACGCGACGTGCAATCCGTTTTGTGAGGACAAGACGCAGGGCTGGGATAAAAAGTGCGACTGGGGTGGCTGCTACAGCTGCACCGAGTGCTCCGCCCCTGCGCCGGTGTGCAAGCCGTTTTGTGAGGACAAGACGCAGGGGGACGGGAAGTCCGTCGGCGTTGCCGCGCTCGTGCGGCAATAGCCGGGTGGAGGGGGGAGCGTGCCGGACGGGGCGACGTCGCGCCGTCCGATGGTCTGCTGCCCCGCGCAGCAACCGTCGGGCGACGACCCGGGGGCCAAAAACCCGGCGACGACGGCGCTCTGGATGGGGCGTGACCTCCTGCCTCCAACCTCCTTCCTTTTTTGAGCAGGTGTGCCGCCGCGCGAGCGACGCTCCGAGATCGCCCGAGCGCGGCGCGGCCCCGAGATTGCCCGAGACAGCGCGAGATCGCCCGAGATCGCGCGGCGCGGCCCGAGGCGAGGTGGATGGGTTGGGAGCGAGGGGGCGGAAGTGTTCAGTGCGGTAGATGGTAAGCTCGGGGCGCGTGAGCCGGACTTGTGAGCCGGACGGCTTTCATTTCTCTCTGCGTTCTTGCACATGGAGTGCAAGATACTCGGCTGTCCTTCCCAAACTGTCACTCCCCTTTCTCCCGGCCGGGGTGGGGCGCGCGCGCGGGGGCGGCGGGCGTGCGGCGAGTGTGCGGGATGTCTGTGGGCCCGAGAGCGACATCGTCTATGCCATGTCCGCCTTGCGCGTTTGTTTCATACATCGAAGGCTAAGGTAGGTAGGTAGAAAGGTGAAGAACAGCCAGGCTCGGACTGGACACCAACGCGGTATGGGTGGACGCTAGACAGATGATGACGACACGCACGAGCGACACACAGACACAAACAAGCTCACAAGACACACAGCCAGCTGGCTGCCACACACCCTGAGTTGGCGTACACATAACTCAAGGCCACATCCTCCCTGTCGCCCCCCCCAGCACTCCAAGGTGCCAAGAGAAACAAACAAGGGCACAACAAACAACAAAACAAACTCCTTACTTCAGCTGCATGTCGGCTGTCGGGCCTCTTCGGCTCGCGGCCGCCGTGCTGCTGATCCTGAGCGATCCTGCGCTCGCACTCGCGCAGAGCACGCGTGCTCTGCGCCCCGTGGACGCCGCGACAGCGGAGTCCCACGTCGGCGCTGTCCGACACCCACTCCTCGGCTCGACGCTCCAAGAGCTGCCAGCTCGACCCGCTTCAAACATCTGCAGCGCGGTCGAGCCGGTCCAAGCTATCGTCGAGCACCCGACGGCTGCCGACGCGGCTCCTGAGCCAGCCTCGGCTGCCGCCTCGGCTTCCGCCACGGCTTCCGCCACGGCTTCCGCCACGGCTTCCGCCACGGCTTCCGCCACGGCTTCCGCCACGGCTTCCGCCACGGCTTCCGCCACGGCTTCCGCCACGGCTCCCGCCACAGCTCCCGCCACGGCTCCCGCCACGGCTTCCGCCACGGCTGTCGCCACGGCTGTCGCCACGGCTTCCGCCACGGCTTCCGCCACGGCTGCCGCCACGGCTGCTGCCACGGCTGCTGCCAAGGCTACCTCGTCTCGTGTCCTGTCTTTTGTGTCTGTGTCGCATGACGAGTCTAGTGTGCCTAGCGTGTCTAGCGTGTTTTCTACCCGCTGCACAGGTCCGGCGCCGACTACCTCGACCGTCCCACCCACCTGGCACCGTGCAGAATGGCTCTGTGTCGGACCAAAGGCAGCCACAAGGCAGCCTGTCCCTCACAGTGTCCACAACGCCGGTGGGGTCCCCTCGGATGAGGGGGCGGGGGCGGCACGACCGTCTTTCACATTGCCCTCGACGACTGGCAGAGCCGGAGCCAACCGCACCGACCACAGCCCGACCAGTAGCCAGGAAACTACCCCGCTGGGCGGGGGCCTGGTTGGGCTGTGCGAGGTGCGGCCCTCTCGGAGCCACGAGTTGTACAAGTTCATTGACTCCGAGCGCATCTTCTACCCGTCCGACGACTCGCTCCTGCCGGGACCCGGGCCGACCGGTACCGAAGGCAGTCGAGCACCAGGACGAGGAGGCGCCGTTCTGGCGTCGCCCGTCCCCAACAACTCCGACATGGACATCTTCGTTGGCGGCACGCCCGCAAACGAGACCATCACCAGTCTCTTCTCGCGCGACGCCTCGTCGGCGGGCGGCCTCTGGGACCTCTCCGACCCGCTGGGACTGGTGATGGCAAAGCTCCCGGGAGATCTCTTACTCGCCGGCCTCATGGCGGCTTACACCAAAAACGGCATTTTCGCTTCCCTGTTCATTTTACACAGCGTCTCCGCCGCGCCCAAGCCTTGGTACTACGCGCTCTACGTTCCAGGGTCTGGTTGGGGCGTCTTTTCCACGTGGGACCTCTGCGCAGCGCACGGCGCCGTCGGGGGCTCGAGGGCGCGCCACAAGAAGTACCGCGACATCCAAGAGGCGCTTGGACGCCCTCCTCATGGGCTAGCTAAGCTCAAAAAGAATTTTACAAAAGAATTGCGGCCCTTCAAACATGTCGGACTCGAAGGAGAAGGAGAACGCCGCCCCACTGCCGCCGCCGCCCACCGCGCTCGCAAACGTCAAGCGCTCCCTCCTCGAGAAGAAGCGCGCGCTCTCTGCGCTCGGCACGTCCCTCTTCCATCCGCCGGCCTATGAGGACTACGTCGGCACGCCCCACGCCATCAAGCGCAAGCGGGCCAGGGCGGCCGCCAAGCGGCACAGCGCCTTGGTCGAGGCAGCGGAGGTGGGCTCGTCGCCCGGCGAGGTAGACGCCGCGTCCAAGATCGACTGGCCGAGCGAGGTGCGCGCCGAGCTCGCCGGCGCGCAGCGCAGCATCAAGCTGGCCGTCTCCGAGGTTGCCTCGCGAGCGGACCACCAGGCGGACCGCCTGTTTGACGCCCTCGACTCGGTCGCCCGTCGCGTCAAGGACGGGGCAAACAGCCTGAAGGCAAAATTGCCCATCAGCGCCACGCCCGTCGGCGGCGGCGGCGACGTCGTGCAGAGCGGCGTCGCGTCAGTCATCGGCAGTGCGGCATCCGCCGCCGCCGCCGCCGCCGCCGCCGCCGAGGGCGCCGCCGCTGGTGCGGGCAGGGCTGCAGAGGCGGCGGCCGCAGCGGCTGGGGAGCGGATGGAGGAGCTGGCCAGCGCAGCCGCTGTGGCGACAGACGCGGCCGAAGCGGCGGCAGGCCACGCGGCGGCGGCGGCGGCGCAGGCGGCGGCGGCGGCGCAGGCGGCCACCGACGAGGCGGCAAAGGCGGCGGCAGAGGCGGCGGCCGACGCGGCGGCGGCGGCGGCGGACGCGGCGGTGTTGGTGAGCACGGCACTTGAGGGCACAGTCGAGGAGACGGCAGGCGCCATCAAGGCGCGCGCAACCCGTAGATCGAAGGGTCGGAGTGGCCCGCTGAGCCCTGGTCTGACAGGAAGCACCTGACAGTGCCTGACCGTCGGACAGCGCTGACAGCACTTCCTCTGACAGCCTCCAAACGTGGCCACATCTACTGCAGGTGATCCTCGAGGAGGGCGCAGAGTCTGTCGAGCAGCAGCTCGAGGCGGCCGAGTCGGCACTCAGTGCGACGGTGAGCACGGCGGCGGCGAGCATCGAGGCGGTCGTCGGCGCGGGGCTGGGCTTCGATGGCGCCGACGCTGAGTAGGAGCAGCGGGTTCCAGACGACCCACGGTGCGAGCCTTGGCAAAGGCATTGTACTCTCGGACGCCGGAGAGCGACTGAGAGCGAACTCCCTCTCGATCCCTCGCAGCACAGTGAGTGCGGGGGTTTCCTGTGGATCTCTCTCTCTCTCACTCTGATTCTGATGAGATGATATCGCCCTCACACACGAGGGTCGAGCGTGTGTCTCTCCACGGCACTGTGCGTATAACGTATAAAGGACGATTGGGAGTATATTCTAACGTGTTAAACCGTAAACGTGTGTAAACGTGCCTCAAATCTAAAACACGATCGATAACGAAAAAAACTTTGATGTTTGAAAGTTTGATCTCTCAGCGTAAGGACGTAAGTGCGTACCACGGTACAGCGATTGCACTTATAGTAACAAACTTAGATGCCACACACGCTTTTCCGCCATATCACTGTGGTTGAAGTCGCTTATTTTGTGTGCGCGTGGAGACAGCCCCCCCCCCACACACACACCCACACACCCACACACCCACACACCACACGCTTTAGCCTCAACGCCGCTGGCACTGCCTGCCGCACTCCGGGTGTAGTGTCGCAAACCCGCTCGGGCTTCAGCAATAATCGCCCACGGGGTAGTCTCCTCGCGGGTAGGGAGAGACCATCGTGAAGCCAGGCGAGTCCGGCGCGTAGGGCCGATCGCATCCACATCCACGACGTGCGCTCTCCGGAGGGCTATGGAGCGCGAGGTCGCCAATCTCCTCCGACGAGAGGTACACCGAATCTTCGCCGAGGGCGCAGTCGCGGTCAGCCAGCCTCGCACACTCGGCAGCTGCAGTGCTCGTGCCCTCTCCCGTGAATCCGGCCGCAACGGTGCACTCCCCTGTGCGGGTCGTACCCTCATTAGACGCGGTGCTCGCCTGGCCGCGCAGCGAAACGCTAAGTGGCGACGACCGGCTCGTAGAGCAAACGCCTCGCTTGAGAGCCTCGCCGGCGGGCGGCCGACGCAAGTAAGGGCGATCACCGCAGGCAAGCTGAGTGCGGCTGTCCTGCATGAGGTGCTCATCTGGCTCCAAAGTGTGCAAACACGCGACGAGGCGGGCACGGTCGCGAGTGACGGCGGCGAGGCGATCTCGCAACACTCTAGCCTCAGCAGCAAGCGCCTCCTCCGACACCGCCGCCGTGCGCGACGAGAGCTCGAGCTCGGCCTCTGCCGCGAGTGCGGTAGCGCATTCACTCCGCGCCTGCGCCTAGTGACACGGCGGGCGAATCTCGGCGGCGGCGGGGTGACACGGGCGAGGCTCGGCGAGGCTCGGCGAGGCTCGGCAGAGGCGGGGCCGGGCGGCAAGGGGAAGGGAGGCGGAAAACCTATACCTGCGCCAGCCTCTCATGGCAACCGCCGTAGACTATAAGACTATAGTCGAGCGCGTCGGAGAGGTGTTTCGACACCGAGTGTTTGAACGTTTCTTCGCAGAAGAAACGTCGAGAGAAAAATCTCTCGCCGGTGTTCACAGAGCTCTGTGAACACCGGCAACTCGGCCTTAGCCGCCGGTACGTCAACAGTGCGATAGCCAAGTATCGCACTGTTGGGTCCCGATGGTGTCCCATCACAAATTCGTGCTGTCGACAGATCATGTCCCTTGGTCGACTGCACCCGCCTTTGGACGGTTCTCCGACATGCTTAGATGAGTCTTTTTGTCTTTTTTTTTGGCTCGCCTGGCCTTCACCAGTGCGAACATATTCTTGCTCGTAGGAGCCGCTCGTCTTTCGTCCGAGCAAAGGTGCGCCCGATCGCCCCATTAAGCACGTGCGAAGGGTATCCGAGCGCCGTAAACTCCCTGAGCTTGCTCGTCACGCTGAGTGCGAATCCCTCGTCATCGCTTGCCATCGCGACCACCTTGAGCAGGCATCCAACCACGATGCCCGCCTTCATTTTAGCGCATGTGAAGCTATCCCAACGATGGTAGCGCCACACTCGCGGTGCCGTCTCGCAGCCCTCATTAACGTTCTTGAGTCTCGTCCGGAAACTTCCGCTTGGGTCGAGCTCAAGAGTCGTTTCCAAGAAATGGGTGCTCTCGGCGGCTTCCAGCTTCAACGGGGCCCAGTAGCACTCCGAACGGCGGAAATCTTCCCGGAAACGATCAACATCCCACGTGCTATCGTCCTTCGCAGTCACCGTGATCACATCGTCCATGTAGCGCTTCATACGGAAACGCGCTTTCGCATCATCGTCGAGTGTTTGCATCCACTCGTGCTCCATCCACGCGAGAGTCCCTATCGCCAGCGGCGGCGATAGCGCACTCCCCATCGGGATACCGCGAGCCTGCTTCAGCAGACGTCCGTCGTATGTGATGACGTAGCAGTTATCCAGATCGAAATCGATAACCTCGAGCATCGTCGAGAAGGTAATCGATGCGTGTCCCCACACCTCTCCTTGCTGTGGTTTCTTAGCTCGCCGGCCTCCTCGCAGCCTCGGCGCGCGCGGGCTGCCCCACCTCGGGCGGCGACCCGATCACGTCGTTCGATGGCGTCTCGACCCGCTACTGGCTCAAAAACGGCACCGACGTTGCGCTCTTGGGCACCGCCGGCCCGACGCCTGGCTACAACAAGTCGGTCGTGGCGTCAACGCGAGATTCCGCGAGACCGCCTGTCTGACAGGGTCGAAGTGACTTTCAGACGGTGCTGCACGCCCTCGACGTCCGGGTTGGCGGAGCCGCGATGGCTATCACGGGCAAGGTGGAGAGCGGAGGCGTCTCCGTGTCGGCGGAGGTGGACTCGGCGCACGAGGTACCGGTCGAGACAACTCGCGTCGCCGTCGGTGACGAACTCGGTCTCACGATTCGCTCCTCGGTGGCCAACAAGTTTGCAGACAAGGAGGAGCGGGCCAGGCACATTCACCTCGACCTCGAGTGGACGCACATCGCTCGCAGGGAGGAGGCGCGCGGCGTGCTACCTGAGATCTGGGGCCTCGCTCCGATGACGGAGGAGACCAAGGCCATGCTCCTGCCGCCGCCGGGCCGCCGGCTGGAGGAGGACTGCCCAGAAGAAGCTGGCGGAGCGCCCCCTCCACTCCTGATCCTGGCGTCCATGCCACCGTCGCCGCCGTATTGCGCTGATTTCAAGACCGAAACCGATTGCCTGTGGGCGCCAGAGACTCGCTGCACTTGGCACCAAAACGTCGGCGGGGCAGGCAGGCGAGTGTAAATGCCTTTACGAGGAGTGCAAAGCCTTTGATTTGTGTACTTTCCTGAGTGACGACAAGACTCAGTGCCTCGATTACAGCCTCCCCAACGGCGCGAATTGCAAGTGGGGCCCGAGCAAGGATTATCCTACCGCCCATTGCACCTGCGAGGAGGAAGGCTGCAAGACCCCGATGCCGAAGTGCTCTTCAGAACACCCGTGCGAATCCGATTGTCAGTGCGTCGATGGTTCTTGCGAGCCTTTACCTGGGTGCAGTCAGTTCAGTATGGATCAATGCGAGGGTCAAAGCGCGAATGGTGCGAAATGTTGCCTGGGGTCCTCCACGAACGCATCTGATTTGCCATGTGGTGTCTGCTATGGCTCTCATCCAGTCTGCGCAGCTTCTTCAAACTCATTAGTTTCGCCACAGACGGTGTTCTCAGCCCAGTTGCCACCGATCATTCCGCCACACCGTGGAGAAGCTGACCGCCTCGTACTTTCTGAATGACGATTTCTGGTTCACCGTCCCTGGCGGGAGGATGATGCAAACGTACAAAGACGCCCCGAAGGGTGACACGTCGACAATGCTATGGGGGTTCAGTTTATGATCCGCCAAGAAAGCACCGTGGACCATGGGAAAGACATCCTCAACGCGTTCGCAAACCAGATGTACTGCGACCTGGAACAGAAATCCGACGACGGATGGCGAGGAAAAGACACCACCGCGTCTGGTGAATCGGTTCAATTGTTCCGCCGTTTCTTCGGCGCCAACGACGCTCACCAAACCACGCCCGGGGGAAGCTGGCAAGAGGATTACGTGACGGGAAATAACATCTTCGTGGGCCTTGCTTTCGCCCACGCTTCCACCGTTTTGGCCCAAGATGAGAATGCCGCTTGCTACGCTCTTGCTGCGTATGACATCGCGGATGCCATTTGGGAAACGAGGAAGTGTGATTCGCACGACTTCCCGCGTGATGGGGGCCGCGCTGCCGGCGCCGAGCGTCACCTGCCTCCACGTCTCTTCCTCTAAGGAGAGGAGAGGCTCGCCGCGGGCTGCCGCAGCACGTAGTGTCGGCCGTACTCCGCCACGCCCGCGAGGACGTCAGCCGCTCACCGTCTCGACCGCCGCCTCAATTGGCGGAGGGGCTCGACCCGTCGTTCCGTGACCTACCCGCTACCGCGCCAGCGAGGGGCTCCTGGCGCGCCGCCCGTCGGTCGACGCCCTCGCCCCTGCGCTCCACCAACGACGCCGTCGCTGTCCTCGCCGACGTGACCGTGAGGCCAGCCCATCGCCATTGGATGCAGCCGAGATGCAAAATCCCAGTGCCGTGATCCCCCCTAGACCCCCCCTGGACGCGTCCACCCTCCGTCCAATCGAGCCGTCCCCTAAAATACATACATATTTTTTAGGAGACAGCACAGCCATAGTGCGCTTACATTCCGGAAAGGCTAGCGAGAAGCGAGATGCAGACGGCGATTGCTGTACTTCGTTGGTGTCATCAAGTGACCGGCTGACAAGCCAGAGGTCGATACTCTGGACGACCCATAGGATCCCACGAATCCCTAAAGGAGAGGGAGGGGAGCCCAGAGGCAGATTCAGCTGCTCTGGGGGGATCTCACTTTGGGGGCTAAAGGACCCCCTGGTCCCAGGTCGTCCCCCCAGGGGCAGTGCCCAGACCGAGGCAGCCCCCAGAGCTTTAAAAACCCCCCCAAAGTTTTCCCCCCCCAGGCACGAAAGAGCCCCGGGTGGAAAACCCACAAAAAGGTACGGGGAGTTTCCCCCCCCCCCCCCCCCCCCGGCGCGTCCGTTCATTGGTGCAGATGCGTCTCTGTCGTATAGTTATGTGCCGAGCTCACAACGTGTCGCCCACCCACTCGTATCAGCAGGTGCCGCACGAGCCCACGCAGCACGACAGGTCGTCGAGGTACATGTTTGTCTTCCGGCACTCTGCGACCGCCGCCGCCGTGTCACGGCCAAGCCCGCGGCAGATCTTGTCGGCGACGATGCCAAAGCGCTGGCGGAACCTAAGACAAGTGTGCAAGAGAGTCGGCCCGCAGTGTGCGACACCGCGGAAGAAGGGGCGGCTGCGCGCGGACAGGGAGGCGGCGGCGGTGGTAAGAGGGGGCGGCGGGACGTGAGAGGGAGAGCGGCGGCGAGGTGGGCCTCGTTTGCAGAGGGCGCAGAAGGAGAGGGGGTATCGTGTCTCGGCAGTGGGTCTCGGCAGAGTCTGTGTCTTGGGAGTGGTCTCATGGGCGTCTCTCACTTGTAGACGAAGCAGAAAGAGAGGTCGCCGTGGCTCACCGACGGACCGACAAGGAAGACGCCGGGGACCGCCGTCGACTCGTCGTCATCCGTCAGCATCGCAGCGCCGCAGAGGCACCCCTTCGCCTGTTAAGAGGAGTGGGACGTGTGACTTGGCCGTGACGCCACGCGCAGAGCCCTTCTCGCCAGGGTGTTTGGTTCGCGTGTCTGTGTGTCCTCTCTCTCTCTCTCTCTCTCTCTCTCTCTCTCTCTCTCTCTCTCTCTCTCTCTCTCTCTCTCTCTCTCTCTCTCTCTCTCTCTCTCTCTCTCTCTCTCTCTCTCTCTCTCTCTCTCTCTCTCTCTCTCTCTCTCTCTCTCTCTCTCTCTCTCTCTCTCTCTCTCTCTCCTCCCACTCTCTCTCCCCCTCTCCTCTTCCTCTCTCTCTCTTCTTCGCCTCGTCCGCCTCGTCCGCAAACGCGAAGAGGTTGCGCGCGACCGACGCGACGGAACCCTCGAAGCCGGTGCAGAGCACGGGCGGCTGAGCCGTGTGCACCACAACCTCGCTCCCCTCGGCGCCTGGAGCAAGGCTCCGGCAAGGCTCAGGGAGGAGGCTCGCGTGCCACGCCACCACCTCGCTCCTCTGCGCGCCGGGCGGCGTGATCGTGCCCAGCGAGGCGAAGGGGGCGGCGTCGCCTCCCTCCTGCTCGGCGAGCCAGCGGAAGTATAGCCGAGATACAGCCGAGATAGAGCTGAGCTCATCCCTCTCCCCCACCGATTGTCCCAACGCTGCAGCAACCCCCCACGCCACCAGCGCAGCCGCGCCCGGCCGCCACCACGCTATCAACCCCGCCGCGATACAGCCGAGATACAGCCGAGATGCGGACTCCTGCTCGGCGAGCCAGCGCGCCGTGCTCTCGGCGCGCGTGACAAAAGGCTTCCGCAGCCCGTCCGGCAGCGGCAGCGGGTTGTCGGCAGCCTGACACCAGCAGCACATGGATGAGTGCTACTGATAGCCCGGCAGCGGCGGCAGCTGCGTGTCGGCGGCTAGTTGTCGGCGGCTAGTTGTCGGCGGCCTAAGAACGAGAGAGAGCACAGGAATGCAGGAGTCGAATGGTCGGGGCGGCGGTGGCGGCGGCGGCCTTCCAAGCGGCGACGACGTTGAAGCCGCCCTCGGGTGCCCTCTCCACCCGCTGGACGCGGAGGGGGGCCTGTTCACGGCTACGGCTGTGAAGAGGCGCTACTCACACACCTCCGCCTTCTCGACGCAGAGCGCGCGCCAACAGCTTTGGGCTCGGGGAGAAGCCCTCGGCGGTCACCTCGCGCAGTCGGTCGGCGGTGTACGGCGCCTATTCACGGCCACAGCTGTGAAGAGGCGCTGCTCACACCTCGCGCAGTCGGCCGGCGGTGTACTGCGCCAGCTCGGAGGACGGGTCCACCGTCTGCACGTTCCACGTGGCGGTCGAGGCGAGGACGGTCGCCTGCTTGCCCGCCTTTGCGAGGTTGACGGCCGCGTCCACGCCGCTCTCGTACCCGCCGATGACCACCCGCTCGTCGCCGTCCAAGCTCGCCCACGAGCTCACCTGTAGCGAGTCGTTCAGTCGTTGTGTCACCCTCGCCTCCCTTCCCGTCCGCCGGCAAGCGCACCCGCGAATTGTGCAGGCAGAGCTCCGCCCCGCCCACGCAGTCTCCGCCTTCGCGCGGGTACTGGAACTCGCCTGTAGGCACGTCGCGGACATGTCACGGACGTGTCCTCGACAGGTCCGCCTCTCGCGCGGTACTCGAGCTCGCCCGCCGCCCAGACGATATACCGCGACCGCAGCGTCTCCTCTCTCTCCGCACCGTCGGCCTTGCGGCTGCGCACGCGCACGTCGAAGGCCCCGTCGGGGCCCTTCTCGACCCGCAGCACCTCGCAGCGCCGCTTGACACGCTTCTTCAGCTGCACGATCCCGCAGAGATCGTCAAGCTAGCGGGACGTCCCTGCCGACAAGCGGATTAGGGTTAGGGCGTGGGTTAGGGTTAGGGTTAGGGTTAGGGTTAGGGTTAGGGTTAGAGGTAGTCTGCGAACCTGCCACAAGCGGACGAGACGGCGGGTACCGTGGGGTAGGGGAGGGTGGGTTCGGGTACCGTGGGTTAGGGGAGGGTGGGTTCGGGTACCGTGGGGTAGGGGAGGGTGGGTTCGGGTACCGTGGGATAGGGGAGGGTGGGGCTGAGGGAGCCGCCAGCAGCAGCCGGCCGAGAGAGGGCCGCGGGTCGGGCGCACTGCGAGCCCGACGGGTGCTGGGCGTGGAGCTCGTAGGCGGGCGAGGAGCCGTGCGCCACCTACAGGAACGCTCCGACAAGGTTCCGGGAAGCTTCGAGTGTGTGACCGAGGAGCCGCGCGCGCGACCGAGTTGAGGTCAAACGAGTTGGTCCACCCCTCCGAGTTGAAAGAGGGCGAGATGAAGCGCATCTCCTCCGGCCACTGCCGAAAGGAGGTGCCGACGCCGTCGCCTTTCTCGACCAGCAGGACGCGGGAGGGGTCGAGGCCGAAGGTCTTGGTGAGCGTGATGGCGAAGCCGATCCCGGCGGCGCCGGCACCCACGACGATCACGGCAGCGTCGACGCCCTCGTCCGACCCGTCGTCCGTCCCTCGATCCTCCACCGCCTCGACACGGCCAGACGCGAGAGCAGGCTTGCGGTCCTCGTCGCGCATGCGCTTCAGCAGCACGGAGGCCCCACCGACGTTGGCAGCGGCGAGGGCGGCGGCGCCGAGGACCTCGGCGCCATCCAATTCGGCCAGCACAGGGTGACTGCGGCGGTGGCCGGAGGCGGCGGCCGCCCGTGAGCGGAGCGCCGTGAGCGGAGCGCCCAGCCAGCCAGCAACGGGAGTCACGAGGAGGAGAGTGGCCATGAGTCGCATCGCTGTGCACATACGTGTTTGTTGTCGCACTGTATGGATGTGCGCGAGCTCCGGCAGGAGCAGGACAGGCGACGGAAAGTGCGAGGCAATGCACGGCGAAGGCACCCTGGTTAGTTGACACCCGTGAGGGCCTCTGAGTCCCCCGCCCGTCAGGGTGATCTTCGGTCTGGTTCGGTCTCTTGCTCGTTTTCCGGGCGTCGCCCCACTGCCTCTGCATTCGTTTTTGATGTCTCTTCTTCGGAGGCGGCCTCTCCGCTCCCCCTTCGTCGGCTTACTTAGCTAGCCCCACTGGCCCGGACGGAGGGAGTCGACGGCCCGGGTGGGGTCTCTCTCCCCGGGCGAGGGCGGCGGCATTGGGTTATGTCGCCTCCCCTCCCCGATCGACGAATCGCGCCCGCACCCGCGGCCTCTCTATCTATCGTACTCGGCTCGCCCCCCCCTTCCTTCCACCGACTCCTCATCGATCTCGGGGAGGCGTGGCCCCCTTTGTCGTAGTTCACGGTGGTCTGGCTGTCGCCGCGACGGGTCTACCCCCGCCCGATGAGCCCGTATGCCCCGACTCCACTCCGCAGAGGCCGAGTCAGCTCGTCTCTCCTCTCCTCTGACAGTCGACTCCAGGCCTCACCCGGGGCCCTCCGGTCTTGGCCTTCCGGCTCGCCGGTCCGCTGTCGTTCTGAAGGAGAGGGAGGCGAGGCCAGAGGCAGACTCCGCTGCTCTCGGGTGATCTCACTTTGGTGGCTGAAGGACCCGCTGGTCCTGTTAAGACACTGTCTCATTCGTGTTCCGAGTCGTGGGGGGGTAGAAGATTGCGGGGAGGAGGAGAAGGACGAGATCTGAGGGAGAGAAGGGGGGAGGGAGGTGGTGGTGGGGGTGGGGGGTCGGCGCTGAAAGAAAGAAGAGTTTTGACCGCGCAAGATATAAATAAAGGGTGGCTAAGGGCTCTGCCCGCACGCAAGGCGCCCGCGTCGCAGACGCGGTACCATTGACAAATCTGCAATATACCCCCACACGAACAAATAGCAAAATCCGAATACCGTGCAGAAACCATGTGATCTCGGCGTGCACCGTGCCAAGACATTCGTAAAATTGAAGCCACGAACGTCCGCCAAATCCGTGCTAGCTAGGGAAAGCTGATCGAGCCCAGCGTGCCCGCGGCCGCCTCCCGCGCAGCACCGCCGCTGGGGACGACACGCTGCGGAATCGGATCGAGCCCATGCACGGGCAAAGAAGGACGCTGCAGAAGCGGTTGGAGAGGCAGCCGGCGTCTGCCGTCACAACGAGTCCCAGCGCTGGTTGGACATGCGCGTCGGCTCGCCCGAGGACTGCTGTCGCGACCCTCCCGTCGTGACGCAGCCTCCGACGAGCTCTGCAACCGAGGAGAGTGAGGGTGCGCCTCCCTTCACTGCTGGCCTGGCTGCGCACCGCCCCACAAAGCACCCTCTCGAGCATCTCTACAAGTACAAGTACAAGGGCGACCTTCTCCAAGTCGTCAACACGCCCGGCGGCTCCGGCAAGACTTTAGCCTTGGCCACCCTCCTTGCGGAGCAGGAGGAGATCCGCTCTCGGTCGGCAACGTGGCAGCTAGTCGAGAGACTCGGTAGTTGTGACCCCCCTCTGAGTGAGGACAGGAGAGAGAGAGCTTTTGTGGTGTTGGTGTACGCAATAACGGGACAGGGTAGTCGTTCTCTCTAGCTCCCCTTCTAGCTCTTAGCATGAGCTGCGCCCTGTGTCCGACCCCTTTTGCGCAGCAACACCTTAAACTTTTAGGCCCTCCAAATTCGGGTCGGAGCGTAGCGGAGTGGGCCCCGAGCTCTGGGGGGAGGCGGGGGCCCCCGGAGGCACCGTGCGCCGCGCAGCAGTGCGGAAACGGGGCTCCGGCTCTACTAGTCTCTACTAGCACCGACTTCCCGATTAAGCTAGGTTAATCAGAGGGCAGATTCGGAGAGATCTCGAGGAGTACATACAGATAGACCCTCCAACCATCAGAAAACTCCGACCTGATCGGTCGTACTGACCGCCGACAGATCACTCCAAATGACCACCGCGGTTCCAGTGACCTCCACCCCCCTTCCGATGGTCGAGGAGGCCGCCGAGATGTCGTGACGGCCAAGAAGGCAACACGGCGCGGGGAATGTGGTGAGGAGATGGCCTCTCACTCCGGCACGCGCATCTTTTCGGGGACCCGGGCTTTCGCTGCGCGGGCGCGGGCGGGCGGGCGCGGGCGGGCGGGCAGGCGGCAGCCCAGCCCAGCATTTTTTTGTGTTTTTGGCCATCTTGGGGACTAGCGGAGAGAGAGAGATCAGTCGACGCACTAGATGAGAGAGCTCCTTCCGGGTTTGTGTGTACATTTGCCTCCATTAGCTCCGTCTACGTGCGGTTCCACTCCTCAAACGAGCCGTACCTCAGAGAATCTCGAGACCAGAAGGGTTGGTTGGGTAGTAGGGGTAGAGGTCTCAGATGCTGGGCGGTGGAGCCGTCCGATCGGAGCCAGAAGACCTAACCAGCGGTTAACCGCGACTACGCGGCTTTACCGGGGGTATCGCGATTTTTGCTGTTTGGTAGAGAGAGAGAGAGAGCGCTCCGACCCTCGCTCTTTCTCTGGTAGGACGGGAACGAGATGATAGTAGGGAGTAGAAGAAAGCGAGTCGGCAGGAGGAGCCCCTCCCGCCCGTGCTTGTGCAGCGCAGCCTCTATAAAGAGACCGCAGGACATTTCACAAGATTGGATCACTGTGCCTCTG